GCTACGGACCGTCCTTAACTCCAGTTCCAGGGGAATCCGAAGACCTCTGACCTCCGTGGCATTGCACGACACGGGTGCACTCACATACATGCAGACAATACACTCATACACATTAAAAATAAATAAATAAAAATAAGTAAAAAATCAACAGAACACTGAAATCTCATATGAAACCCCAACAACAGCATTGCGCACTGCGCATACTCTGCCTGGAGATTCAGTTTTACAGCCTCATTTAACTCTCACATTAGCTTTCGGCTTGGCTGGTTTTTGTTTTTCTGAACCCAGGGCCCTGCACCTACTAGGCAAGTGCTCTACCATTAGGTTATAGCTCGACCCCTTTCACATTAACTCCGTACAAGGGGAACAATCAGCCCAGGTCACCCGAGTACACACTAAGGACCACAGAGGCTAGGCAACTTTAGGAGCTAAGGCTCTCCAGCCCCAATTCTCAAACGTCCACACTCTTCCCACTCTGTCTCTGAATTACAACTAAAGCAGGGCTAACAAGACAGACTGTGCCCCCAAAGGGCTCTCTGCCAGGTCAGGAAGCAGACTGGAAAATCCATCATTCCAGTTCTTTAAGCACAGCGAGGTGTCCCACACACTGGCTATCCACACACTGTCTCTGATCCCACACCTTCCTTTCGAAAGGTCCTCCCTGTCTTTCAAATGGGCATTAAACATCTCTTCTGCAAAGGACCCTCTGACTGCTTCCTCTAAGAGCTACATTAAAAGGCCTCCTCTAAAAGGCCATATTAAAGAAGATATGTCAGCAAAACTAATTATTACCTTCCAAACCAGTGAGGATTAGCAGGTTAAACCCTTGGCATTACAGAAACCAATCCCATCTCCTGAAGAAAGAACTGCAACACCAGCATGTCACCGAGCTCCTCTCCCTTTGCTGTCTACGCTCCGCCACACTGGCCTGTGGGATCCCTTCACATGGCCTCTCCTACAGAAGATGAGGATTCTGCTCAAATTACATTAGTAAATGTCCTTCTGGGAAGCAACTAAGTACCAAAAGTTGCAACCTGTTAGCCCAGCTCCTCCTCCTGTCTCGTAGGCACCCCAACAAGTAGTCAGGGTCAAAAGCTCTCTGACCTTTTCCATCACTTCCTCTGACCCCAGCCATGCTGGGAAAGGCTAGTGGTTCCCACTCTACCCTCTGCCCCAGGGCATTTGGCGCTGTCTAGTGGAACTCTGGGTCTTCACAATTGGGGAATGGTGCCAGTATCCAGTGGGCAGACGTCAGGGGTGCTGCAATACTCAGGATGGCTGCCCATAAGGAAGTGTCCATTTCAAAATGTCAACAGGGTCTGGCACAGAAATCCTGCTCTGAGTTACTGGGCAATGAGTTCAAGTGCTGCATGTACAATATATGGGGTCAAGAACTAGCAAAAGCTTTAGGAAATAAAATATCTTATGTTCAAATCATAGGGAACTACTACTTACAGAGAGCCAGGCAGTTAGATAACGCATTCATTTAATCTCCCTTGAGCAGTTCCTCTTCCATGAAAATTCAGAGAGGTAACCTGCCCAAGGTCACACAGAGAACTGATAGTGAACCTAGCCTATGAGCCTTGAACCAGTCGCTGCCAGCTGCACCGCCCACCCTCCCAGGGATACCCACAAGGCTACACTGTCTGGGAGAACGAGAAATCTACAGCTCAGGGTGGAGTCTTGGGACCCCTGTAACAGCAAGTGAAGAACAAGATGGCAGACCTGCAGCTGCCGTGGTCCGTGTGGCCACCCTGCCGTGCTCCTCCTGTCTCGTAGGCACCCCAACAAGTCGTCAGGCTCAAAAGCTTCTCTGACCTTTTCCATCACTTCCTCTGACTCCAGTCATGTTCTCCTAGACCAGGCCCCGACAGTACCCCACGCACAACTTTCTACATCCCAGGGACAAACTCACTGAAGTTGTAGAGGGCAGGAGCCAGGTGGGCAAGAGGCCCAGCGATAAAACAGGATGGTGTGGCCCGGGCTGGCACCCCAAAGGACCAGCTCTAGCCCTGGCCAGTCCAGCAGAGACACTGTTCAGTCCACACTCCTCTGAGCACCTCTGGGGGCCAAGCTCTGGGCTGGGTTCCTGAACATTCTCTGTGACTACACTTACTTGCCTGTGAAATATTTAGGTTTTCCACTAATCCTGTCGCTCAAAGCTCAAAGTAACTCTAGGCTAAAAGTCTTCTCTAAAACCTTGAGATTCTAGGGTGGGGTTGGGGGGAGAACCATTAGACTCTGACAGTATGACTGACTTTGCCTTGGTTGTTGTTATATGTTGGGGGACCCTGCTGCTAAGGTTATAGTCCTCCATGTCCGGATAGCTCTAAGGGGCTTGGCCTATATGGAAGGACTCCCTTTCTCAGCGGGGGGACTCCTGCTCTCTGCCTGACTTACCTGGAAAGTGCCACCAAGCACGGATGCCTGACCTTATTTGGAACATGACCTTTGGCATAGTTACCTGCAATAAAACTGCCCCCAGGTTTTTTTCTATATGATAATTAGTCATTGCCCTATAGTCAGATGATAGGCTCCTCCTACCACATGTAAATAAAGCATACTATGAGCACCTACCAGCTGAAGCTTTGGCTGCTGCCGCCACACTGTATTTTCCCTGACCCCCACTGAACAAATGGAGCTGTCTCACTGAACCTGCCTCCCCGGAAAGTCTTTTTCCATCGTGCTCACTGGCCATCCAGAACCCAATTGTCACTTCTGCTCCCTTTGTTCTCGTGGATCGGTGGCCAACAGCCCTCGAGGGGAGGGAGAGAGCCACAGTTATAGTCTACCTGCTTTCCCAAAGATGCTTCAGTGTGGCCCCCAAGAACAACGTCAGAGCCATCAAACAAGGATAAAGACAGGAAGCAAAGACCACAACAGAGAGATCTCTTTCTGTGGTCACCTGAGGACTTTCAGAAAATAGCAACTCGGAGCTAGAGAGATGGCTCCGGGGTTAAGAGCACTGGCTGCTCTTGCAGAGGACCTGGGTTCAGTTCCCAGCATCCACATGGCCACTCACAACTGTTTGTAACTCCAGTCCCAGGGGATCCAACACTCTCTTCTGACCTCCATGGGCGCTGCACATATAAACATGCAGACACTCACACATAAAATAAAAATAAATCTTTTTTAAAAAATAAAAGGAAAAAAATCCTAGTATTCGAGAGGCAGAGGCAGGCGGATCTCTATGAGTTTGAGGCCAGCCTGACCTACATAGTGAGTTCCAGGCCAGCTGAGGCTACTGGGAGATCTCAAAAAGACCAAAAACAAACCCCAAAACCAATGGCAACCCACTTAATCCCACAACCACAAAAGGGGCTCCTACCCTACCTCCCAGGAGGAGGAGCTGAGAGGGTAAATGCCTGAGGACAACACAGGAGGCAGCACACAGCAGGGCAGCCTGTGCTCTTCTCAGTGCATTCTGGGGGAAGTGGTGCCCACCGTCACAAGCTAGGATGTGGGTGCAGTCTGCTGACCTGTAACCAAGCTTTCCCCACTACACTACTTTTAGGTACCCCTATTTTAAACAAGAGTTCCCAGGTTTGCTAAGAATCCCAGGTGACTGTGAACACCAGTCTCCCAGGCAGGCTCATTCCCTCTGAGATGCATCCAAGGAGTCACAGTAGACTACGGTGTTCATGAACAGGGAAACTAAAAACAGCCCTCTGAATAACAGGAACTGCCCAGTCACACAGATGACAGCCACACTGGAGCTGCGTCAAGCACGTCAGAAGGAGTCTGACATGCAGGGGCTCCCCGGGCACCTACAGGCACCTGCTGAATACCAAGTTGTGCAACTAAGATGCTACTAGAGTAGTGAGGATACCCATCGGTTGCACATCAAGAAAACAGGTGTCCCCAGAAAACCACAGGCCACTGGTTGGTCTTAGACACAGGCAAATGGCCTGCTAAGCACTGAGTCATGGCAAGTTACTGTATGTATCCAGTCACAGATGTCTCTGCTAGACTCTAGCCAGCACATTCCACCTACTACTGCAAAGTCCGACGTGTGCTTGCTAGAAACATGGACCACATGCTCCCAATGACCCAGCCTGCAGCCCAGAAGTCCCAAGTAGTAACTATAAAGCAGATTACACTCTGTACATAGCATCCACAGCACTCACACCCTATGCTGAGTATCCCACAGCTTATGTAACTGACTAGTAGAAACATTCTCACTCCCGGGCTCTAAGTCCACCCTCCATCATGACCCAGAGTAGCACTGAGTACCATATGATCTGCCTAGAACAAGAGACTTTTGCTCAACAAAAGCATGAGAACATAGGCGAATCTCTGTTGAGTTCCAGGATAGCCTGCTCTACATAGGGAGTTCCAGGCTAGCCAAAGAGGGAGACCCTGTCTCACAAACAAGAAGCACAAGAACACAAATGAGAGGTAGAAGCTGGAGCAACCGTCCCCAAGGGCTTCAGGGGTTGCACACAAACCCTAGCGGGCTTGCTGGGTACCTGGGCAAGAAGGCACCAGAGGACAGAGTGCCCATCACAGGCCTAACACAGTGGGAATGCATGTGGCTGTAGGGCACATACCTCAACAGCAGGGCCAGGCCACAACACAATGAAAAGATCACACAGGAAGCAACCCAGGCACCGGGACAGGCCAATCTTGGGCTCTGCTGCTAGAAAGAGTGTTAGAAACCGAGTTGCTAAAGGTGATGCCAGTCCCCACAGCACCCTCTGCCTGCCCAGGAAACTGAAGTCATGAGTGAATTACAGCCCTTCACAGCCTAAGGCTGACAGAGAAAGGTCACAACCACCTCACCTGCAGCCACAGGAGGTGGCATGCCAGGGAGCCAAGGACACAGAGCAGCAGCTGGATCAGCAGCTGGATCATAGAGGCTGGACCTGGCCCCACACAACTCCACGGGGAGTATGACACAATGTGCAAGAGACGCGCTACACATATCAGAGTGAAAAAGAAAGAAGGCAACTGCTCTGAACCTGGCACCCTGGTTCTTCTAGACGTGAAGACAGCGTTACCTTGTAAAGAAGTTACTGAATGGTCCCAATATTTTCAATTTTTTCCCCTCCTCAGTTTCATCAACACAACTCTGCTGGTGTAAGTCACTGGTTTCCTTGATAGAGCTCAGGGTGACATCAATGAACTGTGGGTCATCATCATTCTCCAGGGTCACAATGGCACTGGAACTGCTCGTGACCATGAGGTCCAAGATGTCCTCATTGCTAACAGACAGTGTAGTGGACAGCTCTGTGCTGAGGCTAGACACACTACAGACAGAGACATTGTCGCTGCGGCTCAGTGCTTTGGAGGTAGGGCTGTAGAGCTTCACCGAGTCATAGCCTGTCCGGGGAAACGTGGAGGACTTCCGCACAACTTGCTCCCTGTCAGTGCTGGTGGGAACCTGGGGCGCACAGGATGGCAGGGGGCATGCACTCTGGAAGGCCCGCTCAGGGATGATCTCTGACTCAGACTGTTTTCTCTTTACATGGACCACACTGCAGGGGACAGGCTCTGGGTTGCCAATCTCCAGGGTAGGAATGCCCGAGTCCACTGACTGAAGGCTGTGTCGATCTTCCAAAGCACCAAGTTTCAGTGTGGGCCCATATTCAGGTGCTGAATGGGATCTGGGTGCTTTGATACTCAACTGCTGCAGGTTCTGAAGGCAGTTTCCTGGTCGGACATCCAAAATGCCCGTCGAGGCTACTCCATTTGTAGAGGTGGCAAGGTTTCCATCAGTCATTTTGGTCCAAGAAGAAACTAGAGAAATAAAGACACAGACATTTAGAAGGTGCACAGGGACTCCAAAGCGGCCACCCCTCAGATGCACAGCTCAAAACATTTGACACCTTATGTAAGCTTACATTGAGCTGTGGCAGGCTTGCTTGTTTACTTAGAGTTTGTGTTTTGCACACCAGTACCTAATCTGCCAAATCAGGAGGAATGTGTTTATAATTTAGGGAAGATGGTTAAATGGTGGAGTTCACAACACGTATCTGACCGCTCCTTGACCCTCAGATACAGGTGGGAAAACAGCTGTTGAAGCTAATTGAGCTAAGCAAACGGTGGCGATCGCTGATGTTCTACTGTATAAAAAGGCGGAGCTGGAATAAACCGGGGCTGCGGTCTCTACTGACAGTCCTCCCAAGGATCTTTTCTCTGTCTCTTGTTTTTTCTTTCAATCCTCACGCCCCCTTTCAGGTACTATCCATCTTGGCTGGCTGGCACCGGCAGTGACACACACTTGTAACACCAGCACTCAAGAGACTGAGGCAGGAGGATTATGAAACTTTGAAATCAGCCTGGGTGAGACCCTATGTCAAAAAAGAAACCCCCCAAAAGTCTACATACTCAAGCTCTGATAGAGGACAGAGCCGACACTTAGCACACTCTCACGACATAAACTAGAAAGATAAGTCAAACAGACTATCTTTCTAGGGAAAACAATCATTTTTATCAGTTACCTTACCCCACCAGTCACATCTCTGACATTCAGGCCAGCAATGGAAGCACAAGGTCTGTGCCAGGCAGGAAGGTAGTTTTCTTGTGGAATTATACTATAGATTAAATCTTATATGCTCCCCACCCAAGGCCCACTTGTTGAAGGCCTGGTCCCCAGACTGTTGTGCAACTTGAAGGTGGCAGAGCCTTTAGAAGGTAGGACTCAGTGGAAGGAAATTAGGTCAATGGGAGCACCTCCCTGAAAGGGGCACTGAGAGCTTATTCCCTGCCTGTCACTGTCCTTGTTTTCCTGAATGCCATGAAATTTAAAATGGCTTGCTATAGACTCATAAATCCTAGGACAGGTAGTTGGTTAAATGAAGGCAAATAACAGTATAATAAAAGCCAAGACTTGAGAATCTAAAACCCTGGTTCCACACACACCTGGAGAGATGGCTCAGTGATTAAGAGCATTGGCTGCTCTTGCAGAGGACCTGGGTTCAGTTCCCAGCACTCACACAGAGGCTAGCAACCATCTACGGCTCCAGTTCCAGGGGATCCAACTCCGTCTTCTGGCCTCCACGGGCACTGCACGACACAGGTGCACTTAAATACATTCAGGCAAAACACCCAAACACAGATTTAAAAAAAAAAAAAAAAAAAAGAAGAAGCCATGTTCAAAGTGCTCTGGACAAGCCGGGCATGGTAGCCCATGCCTTTGATCCCAGCACTCAGGAGGCAAAGGCAGGTGGATCTCTGTGAGTTCAAGGCCAGCCTGGTTTAGTAGTAAGTTTCAGGCTAGATAGGGCTTCAGGGAGACCCTATCTCAAAAAGACCATAAATAAATAAATAAATAAACAAACAAACAAAAACAAAATGCTCTGGCCAAAGGGGCCAGCATAAACCTGGAGAAAATTCTAGCCTGAAGGACACAGCCCCCAGCACCCTGCCAACCCTAGCCTGGGAAAGGTTTCCTCTTATTTTCCCTTACAATATCAAAACTAAAGCGATCAGCCAGAGCACTGTAACCTGACCTGGAAGACACAGAGAGGCTGAGCTCTAGCCACTGGGATTGTAACCCCAGCTCCATTGCAGGTGGCCTTGGGAGAATGGACCAAGGAAAGCAATGAATGGGTACTGGCCTCGGGGCACAGCTGCCATCAGCAAACAAGAAGTAGCTGATAGCTCTGAGGCACAGAAGACACAACTGGCAGCCCACCAGGTAGGAGTTAGCTCAGCTTCTGCCAGGGCCTCCTGCAGCCCTCAGGAAGCCAGTCCCCCCAAGTCAGCACAGCAGAAGCCAATTGATTAAAAGCAGAAAAGGGAAGGGGAATAATCTCCCTCCTTCCCAGAAGCTGAAGGAGCCAGTCAGTGAGTGCACCAGGGAGAGAACAGAAACTTGGAGGGATAAATCGAAAGGCAGAGTTCAGGAACAGACTGAACTACATAAAACGTGAACCATGACCAGTGAGCAAGGACCACCTAACTCCAGACTTGTGCTAATCCATCTTCCATGTTTCTTGGAAGCCTGAGTCACAGTGTATCACGCCAAAATAAATCACAGAATTAAGAGTTACAGAAACAGGGCTGGAGAGATGGCTCAGTGGTTAAGAGCACTGGCTGCTCTTGCAAAGGACCTAGGTTCAGTTCCCAGTACCCATATGACAGCTAAAAACTGTCAGTTTTAACTCTAGTTCCAAGGGATCTGACATCCTCTTCTGACATCCACGGGCACTGCACGACACAGCTGTGCTTACATACATGCAGGTAATACACACACACACACACACACACACACACACACATAAAATAAAAATAATAAATAAATGAGAACTTGGTTCATTCTCAAGAAGGCTCTGGACATCACTTCAGTGGGTATGGACACATTCTGTTTCATAGCTCACACTGCCGTGACAGTCACCCTCAGTCCAGCAGTCATGTGCCCCTCAACAATACCACACCCCATCGCTGCTGCTCTGGGAAAACCCCTCAGTTGTCTTGTTAAGAAACAAGAACCATGGCCAGATATGGCGCACATGCCTTTAACCCTAGCACTCGGGAGGCAGAGGCAACTGTGAGTTCAAGGCCAGCCTAGTCTACATAGCAAGTTCCAGGCCAGCTGGGGCTATAGGAAGACCCTATCTTAAAAAGAAGAAAAAATAAAAAAGAAATAAAAATCACAAAAAGATACAAGTAGATTCAAATGTATACAAATTTAAAAGTGCTTGCAAAAACTGAAGTTAAACTGTTACAAGAAATTCTGCTCTAACCCCAGCACTCTGAGGCAGAGACAGGTAGATCTCTGTGAGAGGCCAGCCTGGTCTACATAGTAAGTTCCAGGCCAGCTAAGGCTACAGGGAGACCCTGCCTTCAAAAAAAAAAGAGAGAGAGAGAGAGAGAGAGAGAAAGGAAAGAAAGAAAGAAAGGAAGGAAGAAAGAAAGAAAAGAAAAGAAAAGAAAAGAAAAGAAAAGAAAAGAAAAGAAAAGAAAAGAAAGGATTCTGCTCTAGAGTTGACGGGAAAGTGGTGCCTGGGCAAACAAACACAACGAAGTGTCTACTGCTTGCTGCCTATGGTGAGACACCACCTAACTCAGACAACAGCATTCTATTCCTGGCATTCGAAGGACTCCTCTAAACCTAGCCACACATGGGGGAAGGAGGCAGGGATGAGCATCCAGAGCTGCGGTGCTCCCTCTGTCCTCCTCCCCTCTGCTGTGGAGGCCAGGAGCAGCCCTAGGGCCTCTTCCAGGGAGAAGTGAGATGAACTCTGAGGCCCCTGCCGGTTCCTTTAACCGCAGGAACACAGTGTCCATCTTCGGGGAAATAAGCCAAAAGAGGGAAAAGGGCTCCAGCTTGCAACATGCTGTAGAAGGAAACTCTGCAAAGGGCCAAGGCCACCCGTCCTCAGGCCCTTCCATCTGATGCCACCAGTGCCATAAAGCCAGGGTCCATACTCCAGGCCTCCTGCTCCATAAGGAGGTTGCACAAACAAGGCACATGCTTTTGAGACAAGGCTGTGGGGTGAACCCTGGAAGCTGGCCAGAAGCAGGCCGCCTGCCTCCAAGTCACACGCTTTCTAAACAGACTAAGCCCAAGTTCTCCACACTAAGCAGGCCTCCCCCACCCTAACTGCCTCCTCACTCTCAACACCCACCCCACTGGACCTCAGGAGAGAGCAGGGGGCTCCCAAGGGAGGTCAGCAGGGGCCTCCAGGCTCCAGCAATGTGTGGAGCTACTTTACCAGCACTTTCAAAGGCCACGTCCTCTGTACCTCCCCTACTTCTTCGGGAAGCTGAAGAGCTTTCTAGGCTCTTCTGGCCACACCTCATGTCTTTCTCCCCACCGGATTCCAGGTTTCAGGCAGGCAAAGCTCCACTCATTTCAAGATGCCAGTGCTTGGCCAAAAGCCTAGCATGGATTAAGGGCTCAAAAGAGTTGCTGAATTAATTACCAACAACTAGGTTCCCAAGTGGACAGATCTCAGGGATGGTCCCTTCCATGCACATCCAGCTGAAAGTTGGGTTGTGCTCCAGAAACAAGGGCAGCACTCAAAGCAGCAATACAGGAGGAAAATCCCACTGAGTCCCTGGCAACCCATGCGGACACCCGACACCAGCAACTGAGTAGTGGATACCTGGCACCACAAGCTGAGGTGAGAAGCGCTGTCCACGGCAGACAACCAGAAGGCAAGAAAATGCATCCTCTACCATTTGCCTTCTAAAGTCTGCACAGCTAAGTCCCAACAACACAATCTCCCCGCAGCCGCCCTGGCCTGGGCTGTCTCAGACACCAGCTGACTCCAGCCAGGGAGGAAGGAACAGCCCTCAGCTTACCCAGCACACTGCCAGGGGAGGCCCAAAATGCAGGGCAAATGGTGATTAGGCACCACTTCCTGGACAAGAGAGAAACACACAGATGTGAGGCAGGGATAAAAGAAAGGCTGTTTTTATTCCTCAGAGCAAGACCATGTGAGTTTCATGTGCCTGCTCCAACACCCAGCTTTGCAGGAGGCAAAGAGGAAAATGCTCAAGGCTCTGGAACAACCCAGAGAACACCCCACAGGGCAGCTGCACAAAAGCAGAACTGAGGTCTCTACTGTGAGCAACTAAGTGATTCTACGGCCCACATTTGCGACTCAGGCCCCTTCGAAGCTCTGCGGATAGTGAAGGCCAAATGCAAACATCAGACACTCCTCTAATCCCCATCACATGAGAAATGGCAGTGTCCTCGCCACCACCGGAAGGCTATGACCTGGCTGAGTTAAGTGATCTGCCTAGGTCTCCAGGGCCAGGACCCACCCCAGTCTTCTGTCTCCAGC